CGGCTGCGGCTCACCCGCCCAGAGCGGGTCCGCGGGGGCGGAGTGGAGGGAGGGGGCTTTCTCCTCCAACCCTCTGAGGGTGGCTCCTCCCGCAGTGCCCTGACCGACTAAGGGAAATGAGTGTCTTGGATTCATTCATTCACCATCCATCCATCCACCCAACAAATACTTACAGGGCACCTACTAGGTGCAGGCTCAGGGTGGAGGAAGACAAATTATCATGTAAACGAGGTAAGATTGTTCTAAGACGTGCAGTAGATCATTTATTTCTGGAGTCCCACATGATTTGGGGGCAGGGCCTGGCTACCAGTGCGCTGTTGGCTTTGGAGTGGAGGTGGAGCCTGCAGATAAGGGGGTAGGGAGGGGAAGCAGGGGCTACTTCTGCCAACCAGCTCTTCTCCTGGGCCTTGAACACTATCAAAACCTGCTGGAGGGCTGGGGATGCGGCTCAAGCGGTAGCGCGCTCGCCTGGCATGCGTTCGGCCCGGGTTCGATCCTCAGCACCACATACAAACAAAGATGTTGTGTCCGCTGAAAACTAAAAATTCTCTCTCTCTCTCTCTCTCTCTCCCCCCTCTCTCTCTCTCTCTCTCTCTCTCTCTCTCTCTCTCTCTCTCTCTCTTTCTTAAAAAACAAAAACAAAACAAGACAAACAACAACAACAACAAAAAAAAAAACACAAAACAAAACAAAACAACCCTGCTGGAGGGCCCACTATTTCCACAAATGCTTACTGGTTAGGATCACAGGCCTTGGCATGGAGGCAAACTGGCTCCCTGTGGGGCAAATCTAGGGGAACGGGAGTGGGACTGCCTTGGTGCTCTGATCTGCCTGGAAACTGTTGGTAGGCCAGGTCCAAAGCAGGACAGTATTTCCTTTCATCCTAAAGGTCTAGGTCAGTTTTGTCCATCAGACTGACTTGTTACCCTTACTGTGCAAGGCAGTGACCACAGGCCACATGTGGCTGTTACAGAGCACTTGAAACGAGGCCAGTGCAACAGAATTTTACATGTTATTTAATTTCTATTAAATTTAAATAGCTGTGTGTGGCTAGTGCCTAAGGCTTTTTATTTCTTCATCTATTGCAAAGTAATACACCATAGGCCCCTTTGTGTCAGCAACATGTTAATACCCAGCCCTGTCCTTCACTCTATAACTCTCAGATCTTTCTTCTAGTTCCCTGTTTCCTGCCCTTTATAATTATGCTAAAACATTTACCCCGGCGGGTTTTGTGTGTCCCTAAAACAAATCTTTCTTGAACACCTTACTCTTTGCAAACGGTGGAGATTCAAACATGTGTAAGACAACCCCACACTAAATATAATCATCCAATAGTTCTTTTAGCCAGCGTTTGAAGGGAGGGTTCTGTATCTTTATCAGGGTCTCCATTCATGTGACTTTTGAATTTTTTAACTTTCATTTTATTGGTGAGTATAATTATACATAATAGTGGGATTCATTATGCCATATTCATACACACACATAATTTGTCGTTCTCATTCCTCAGTGCCTTTCCTTTCTCTCTCCTCCTCCCTTGCTATTAATTTACATTCCCTTGGAATCTCTGCTCAAAGCAGAGATCAGGGCTCCAGATCTGGAGCGAGAATCCCTAGACTGGTGTCAAGATAGAGTTCCAGCACCACCAGGTTAGAGATACAATCATTCTACCTGTATTAGTTGAGTATCTACTGTATGCAGTGCTTGGGAGACAACTGTGAACCAGCAAGTTTCTACCTCTGAGATGCTGCCATTCTAGTGGGTTGGGGAAGAGAGACAATAAACAAATAAACACACAAATGGCCATCAATTTTTTTTATTCGTTGTTCAAAACATTACAAAGCTCATGATATATCATCTTTCATACATTTGACTCAATTGGGTTATGAACTCCCATTTTTACCCCAAATACAAATTGCAGAATCACATGGGTTACACACTCACATTTTTACATAATGGCATATTAGTGACTGTTGTATTCTGCTACCTTTCCTATCCCCTACTATCCCCCCTCCCCTCCCCTCAAATAATCCCTCTCTACCTCCTCTGCTGTTGTTCAATTCTCTCCCTTGTTTCCCTCCCCCTTTCCCCTCACAACCTCTTATATGTAATTTTGTGTAACATTGAGGGTCTCCTACCATTTCCATATGCTTTCCTTTCTCTCTCCCTTTCTCTCCCCCCACTCGTCTTTGTTTGCCAAATGTCTTCTTTGATATAAAGAGAGCAACTAAGAACAGAACAGGGAGGAAGAGCATGAGGAAAAGATTAACATCAATGTTATGAAAAAATAATAATAGTGCAGGACTGACAAGGTGGCAGTCTCCTTGAGACGTCAGCCCCTGTGCACATAACACCCACCATGCTACAGAAGCAAGAGGGAGGTTAATGAGGACTCTTAGAAACTAAGGTAAAGTATGAGAAACCCCCACATCCTCCATCCCACTGTTGAAAAGTGGGCTGAGTGAACACCTTACATTCGCGCTCTTGTCTCTGGTGGGGATCATGGCCCACCCCTACCCCACCACAGCTCTGGGAGGCAGAGACAGCCTTGCTGGCTGGGTATGACAATGTCAGGCTGGGCTAGAAGCATGGAATAATGAGACCTGGCAGTCCCTTCTCTGCACTTCATGGTTCAAGAATCCGTGGATTCCAGTCACAGGACTCAGCTCACGAAAAGAACAGTGACCAGGGAGAGTGCTCTGAAGTTCTCTGAGAGGAACTTCTGTAGTGATGGGAGGTGGCCCTCAGGGTGGGCAGGTTCATATCATAAAGCCACAGGCAATTCCCTTCTGTCCCCGTTCCCTGAGCTCCCCAGGAGGCAGAGAATAAAGGTAGACTGAAGCTCAGGTGGCTGTTATCCAGGGAAACATGAACTCACTGGGAAAAATAATTAGGTTTCTGGAAATCCTAAAACAAAGCTGATTTAAAACACACATGAATTAAGTTTTGCTTCAGCTACTAATAACAGAGTCTAATTTGTGGCATGAGCACAACATTAGTTAATTTCCCTTTCTCATGGACACTTGTCAGTGGGTGACTTATGGTTGATACAGTAGCTTTGTTTTTCTAGGTCTCAGAGGACTCACGTTTGATTCCAGGTCACTGCTCTCCTCTCATATCTTCATGACCCAAGCTGCCAGATAAAGCTCCAGCCATCACATTGCATCTGAGCAGTTTGATAGTAAAGAACTAAAGAAGGAATAAAAATCAGATTGATATCAAATCTAGACAGCAACATTGGATCTGAGAAAAAATTGAAAATCGTTTCAAAGTATTGAAGAAAAATCACCTTAAACCTGGATGTGGATTTCTCGCTAGATTATCAGGTGGACACAGAATCAGAAAGCTTGTCATATTTAGTCCCACTTTGAAAATACAGTTAGAGGAACTATTCCATCAATAAGTAAATCAGGGATCGGGGGCACACCCCGGCAGCAGGGTGCTTGCCTGGCATGCACAAGGCCCTGGGCTCACCTCCAGCATCATCACAAAAAAGAAAAAGAAAGAAAAGAAAAAGAAGTCTCAGAGTGCTCAGTGACAGCAAGAAGAGGGAAAGGGGGTTAACTAAACCCCTGCCTCCATTCTCTGCAGAGCCAGCAAGCTCGGGCCCTTGGCTCTCCTTCCTGACCACAGTTCACTCATGAGCTGAGGGCTGCAGTTGGAGTCCCTGACCCGTAGAATGGGGAGGAAGGACTGCCAGGTCTCTTTGTTCTGGGCTGGGAACCCCAGGTCACAGCTGTGTTCTCCTCCAGTGCCTGGTATGGGTGGGGTTGGTGACAGTCCCCACCAAAGACAAGAGCCCCGTGTAAGGTGTTCACTTAGCCTACTCCCCCGTTTTTTTTTTTTTTTTTTGGCACTGGGTGGAGGGTGTGCTGGAGGCCTCCCTCCCTCGTGTTTTCACGTTGGTTTCTAGCGGTCCTCAGAGCCTCTTTCTGCTTCTGTGGCAGGCTTAGGGTTCTATGCACAGGAAGGGGACAGTGCCTCCAGGACACTGCTAACCTTGTCTGTGGGTGCAAGCTGAGAAGGTGGCAGAGCCAAGGAGGGCCTTACCAGGTGAGCTGAAAGGAAACCGAGTCCACCTAGGTCACCTTTGGAGGAGCAGGGGAAGCCAGACTGTAGGTGAGACAACCTTCATTTTAGCCTCTCTCCCGAGGCTGATCTGAATCCAACACACTCTGCCTCCTGAGACATGTATCCTCAGCCCCTGAATTTTCAGGTAACAGATCCCCAACTTTCCAGAGGCGGGGAGAGGGACAGATCAGAGAAGGGGTGCAATGTTAAGCAAAGGTTGGAGTCCAGGGCCAGTGGACTTTATCTTTCTCTGTTATTTACATGGCAAAGATTCTGGTAGGAAATTAACAGAAAATTACAAAAAAACTAAAAAAAAAAAAAAGGCGGGGTGTGTGTGTGTG